GTGCTGTTTGGTCTTAGACCTGGATGCAAGGCATGACCTCATCCTTGGCATGGCATGGCTGGAACACCATGAGCCATGGATCGACTGGACGTCGAAAACGCTGGATGCGTCGCACCCTGTTCCTAGTGGAGCTTTGGTGAGTCATGAACCCACCTCTGCTAGGAAGCAGAAGCGCTTTTGGCGCGAGCACGAGGCCGAGGCGGCCGTAGTGCTGGAAATTGGTATGACCGAAATTGTTAGCAACGAGGTTGCTGTTTGCCCTGAGGGCGTACGTGGTGCGGCACGCTATCCGCTGAGCGGTGCAGGTCAGGTCAATGACCAGCTGCTGGGTCCTGGTGAGGACGAGCGCGGAGTGGCGCGTAATCCACTGAGTGGTATGAATCTGGTCGATGACCTACCGCTGCGTGACCCGAGGGTCGCGGTCGACTGCGAGTCGAGGCATCATGGGCGTGGCCCAGGAGATGCAGGTGAAGTGACACCTAGTTCACTGTGTGAAGGTCAAGAACCTCTTGGCTTTCAGCCGAGTGTCTTGCGAGACACTGTAGCCTCTTCGAGGAGTGATGGTGCTGCTGCACCCGGTGGTGGTGATGGAGATGTCGCCACACCGCCCTCTTCCGGCCGGGCTCGGTCACGGAGGGAGAGGAGAAGAAGACGCAGGCCGTCTGTGACGTCTTCGACGTCGGACGAGATGTCCAACGTAACGAGCAGTGAGGCTCCACGTGGTTGGCGTGACGGAAGAGGTCGAAGGCGACATCAGCCTTGACGCTCCACCCGCTGTAGATGCTCTGCTAGAGCTGGACGAGATGTCCATCGCCGAGTTTGGCGAAGCCTTGAAGGCAGGCGAGCTAGCCGAGGTGGTCCTGCTGGGTAGTTGAGCTCTACATCCGTCGTGGACGACGCGGTCTAAAAAGGTGCTGAGCGCAGGAAGTGGATCGGCGATCCTCAAAGATCCTTCGGATCCCTTCTATCCTGTGGTGAAGGAGTATGGAGACGTTGTCTCGAAAGCCCCACCGATAGGCCTGCCTCCGGATCGAGGCGTGTGTCATGAGATTGACCTGGTTCCTGGAGCCAAATACTGCGTGACAAGGTAATGGTCTTTGCCGAGAGATCTGTGTGACGTCAATGACGCATTCTTCCGTGCGAAGCACAAGGTAGGGATAGTGCGTGAGAGTAAGTCTCCGCACCCGACACCCACGCTCTGTGTCAGAAAGTCGAACGGCAAGTGGTGCATTGCTCATACTTTTAACAAGCTAAATGCGGCCACTATCTCGGCGCAAACGCCAATTTCCTCGCAAGGATGTTCTGCAGAACAACATGGTAGGCTGTACACTGTACAGCTCACTCGACTTGGTCGATAAATACTACCAATTGCTCATGAGAGCGAGCGACATTCCGCTGACAGCGGTGAGTACTCCTAGCGGTATGCTCTGGGAGTGGCTGGTCATGCCCCAGGGGCTGTCGAACCCAGTAGCAGCTCAATCGGATCGTGACGCAGCTGTTTAGGTCCCACTGGGCGTACGCTCAAACATACTTTGACGATATATTCGTCCATAATAGTGCTGAGCACGGAAAGTCAGACGTGGATAACCACATTGACTACTTGCGAGCGGTGCTCGAGTGCATGCGCACTAATAACTTGTATGCCAACTTGGACAAGTGCGTCTTTGGTGCGGAGGAGATACCTTTCCTAGGGTGCTTCATTGGGAAACGCGGCTTACGGGCAGATCCTGCCAAAGTCAAGGCCATCGTCGACTGGCCGGTTCCCAAGAATTAAAAGGACTTACGCAAGTGGCTAGGCTTAGCGAATTACTTGCGCAAGTATAGCGCGAACTACGCGGGGATGGCTCGGCCATTATCAGATCTCCTTATGAAGGACGCACCATGGTGCTGGAACGTCGAGCACGACGCAGCCTTTGAGGCTGTGAAGGAGAGCCTCCTCCAGACTCTGATCCTTGCGCTACCGGACCCGGATAGTCTGTTTAGCGTCGTCTGTGACGCCTCCGATTTTGCAATCGATTGTGCTTTACTACAAGCAGACGCCGAAGGGCGTGAACCCGTGATTGCGTTTGAGTCTCGCCAGCGCAAAGCTGCAGAGAAGAGCTATCCAGTTCATGACAAAGATCTACTTGCAATGAAGTATGCTCTAGTCAAATGCGGGGTACACCTGCTAGGCTCTAAGCCTTTTGTGATCTTTACTGCTCATGCGTCGCAACGCACTGCGACACAGTCGCTTCCTCTCTCTCCGAGAATGGCAAGATGGCTTTCCTTCTTTGCCGAGTACAACTTCGAGGTGAAGTACATGCCGGGGCGGCTTAATGTAGTGGCCGATGCGCTCAGGTCGGACTACGAGTTAGCTCATGTCACGACAGTGACGTCGTCAGTGCCTGACTTGATACGCAGAGCGTATGCACAGGACGACATGTGGGTAGCGCTGCTACGGGCTCTTGAGAGCGAAGAGTTTAAAGATTCTGACAAGGAATTGTCTGGGCGCTTACGCGCGAGGCTGCATCGATACTCGCTCGATGGCGGCCTGCTGTACTACAGCACCGACTCTGAGGATAACCCTCGTGTAGTCGTTCCTCATGATGAGGTTCTAAAGTATCGAATCCTCTATGAGGTTCATGATACGCCCGTGGGCGGGAACTTAGGTCGGGAGAAGACCTATGTCTCGATGAGCTCGATGTACTGGTGGCCCCAGATGTATAAGTGGATTAGCACCTATGTACGCACGTGTGAGACATGTCAACGGACAAAGTCCGCGCCGAGCACGGCTGCGCCATTGGCGAGTTTGCCTGTCCCCAAGCGATGTTGGCAGTCCATGAGTATGGACTTTTTGTTTGGCCTTCCCAAGGATAAGGCGGGAAACACGGGTATTGTGGTCTTTGTAGACCGATTGAGCAAGATGGCTCATTTAGCGGCGGTGCCGCATACCATTAATGGTGAAGGTACAGCTTAGCTGTTTTTAGACCGAGTATTTCGCCAACATGGCTTGCCTGAGGCAATTGTCTCGGATCGGACCCGCACTTCACCGCGAAGTTCTGGGCGTTCTTCTTCGGAGTGCTTAGCACTCGTTTGGACATGTCCACAGCGGACCATCCGCAGACCGATGGTCAAACCGAACGCGTGAATCGCATTGTGGGGGATATCCTCCGAAGCGTATGCGCTGAGCGCCAAAACGCTGGAGCCAGATGCTCCCACTCGTTGAGTTCGCATTAAATAATGCAGTGCACGACTCGACAGGCTACACTCCGTTCTATGTGAACGGCTTGGTTAATTCTCGCGTCCCACTGACGCCGCCACGCAGTGGCACAGGGCTTGATTGGGAGGGATAGCCGAGCGGCTAGCTGATGTCAGCCCTGGTGCGGTTCAAAAGCAAGTCGATGACTTTGTCTCTTTGAGACTGAGCGTAATGCGTCAAGTACGCGAGGCTATGGCCGAAAGCCAATACACGCAGAAGGAACATGCAGATGCCAAGGGCAGAGGCAATGTTGAGAGGTTTGAGGTCGGTGGCCAAGTTTTGTTAAACGATAAAAACCTACCTACTCATGCAGTGTCTGCAGTCTTCAAGACGAAGTTAAGGCCTCGGTTCATAGGTCCGTTCAAGGTCGTGGCCAGGAAGGGCCAAGCATATACACCCAATCTTCCGAAGAAGATGCGCACGCATCCGGCCTTCTATGTTGGCTTGCGTAAACCATATCAAGACCCTGCTTAGGTGAGCGCGGAGGCGTTGGCACCACGTTTCAAGGAACGGTGGCCGACGGTGCTTGGGTCAACTTGCTAAAGTCAATGTACTTTATGGTTGGTTTTGGGGTCTCAATAGGACCACGGACAGCTGCAGGGCAGCAGGCAATAGAGCCACAGGTCGCGGAGCGAAGTGCTCGAGATGCAAAAGCAAGGCAAGCTGAATGTTCCGCTAAGCGACTGGACGCTCAAGGACCGAGGCCGGGTTGTGAGTCAACAGTGGTGGCTCTAACCTATCCACGAGGTTGATCATCTCTTCGAGGTAGATCGATGGGCGAAGAACGTGAGCTTTCGTGTCGTGGACGCCGGCGTCGTATGGACGCAGACGCTGTTCCGGCAAGTGTCGACTCTCCCCGCGGTAACCCAGCTGAGACAAGGCCTCCTCTTGCTCTGCTCGATGAGCATCGTGAGCTCCTCTGTAACGTGGAACGCCTTGTGGTTACAAAGTACTGGGTACGGGCATCTACGCCGCGAGTGGAGGGGTTACCCTCACTCATAGAACTCATGGCAGTTTGAGGTTATCCAACGGCAAATTTGCCCTGACGTCGTGGACGCTTACAACCGGGCTCATCCTGTGCCGAAGCGCCACCATGGCATGCGACAGCGTCGCCAGGCGCTGCGCGCCTCCCACTAGAGTGAGGAGCGAACAGGTCAGTAGCTGAGCTCAGGATCTGACCAGTGGCTACAGCAGCCAGCTCGTATGTATGAGCGGTGCTCGCAGTGGGAGCAGGAGGTGGAGAGACCTCGTGGTGTTAGGGACATGGTCCCGAAGAAAGCAGGTGTTTCGAGTTGTGCTGAACAAGGTTCAGGCACAAGCGTCCTGATAGACGCATAGTTGTTTTAACACAACTTGCTTGATGAGCATGATCCAGATGTGAATGCGCTGTAACAGCGAAAGTGATGTCCCGGGCGAGGATCGAACCACTGGCCTTTGGCTTTCCAGGCCGGAGCTCTACCATCGAACTATAAGGGCAATGCCCGTAAGTTTGTCCGAATACGGACTACTCATGATTTGAGAGGGCTGCGCCCGGGTGGAATCGAACCACCGACCTGTGGCTTCCAAAGCCAAAGCTCGACGACTGGGCTAAACCGGTGTTGCCCTTAAGCTTGTCCTAGCGTGGACAGCAGTTCAGGGTACGATAGAGCTGTACCCTGGTGGCTTTGAACCGGCTTTAAAAGCCAATGCTCAACCATTGAGCTAAAAGGGTGTTGACCTTAAGCTTATCCAAGCGTGGCCATTCGTTCAGGGAACAAAAGGGAGACGCCCTGGTGGAATTGAACCACCGACCTATCGCTTGTAAAGCGAGTATTCAACCGCTGCGCTGTTGCCAACGACTCGGATGAGTCAAGAGCATAGCTCTAAGCGGTTTGCAGTTCTTGGAGTAGGCGCAGAGCGCGAGCGTAGGTCTGAGACCACTTGAGAACGCGGTGAGCGCGGTGCGCTTCGAAAATTGGGCCGTGGGCCGACGATGAGAAGTTGAGCATCAACGATGCGTAGGTGTTTGTGAGCTCGTGGGGCTGTACAACGCTGATGTGAGGTGTAGTAACCTCCGCCGTCTAAACAAGACGTGTTACCTCGCTGAGAAAAGTTTCAAGAACGGAATGTTCTCATCTTAGTGGGCGAGAGTGTAGCGGGGTTACATGGTGTGGAACACACAGACAGAGTTAACAAGCCCTCAGTACATAAGTTGGCGAGCTAACAAGGTCTCTCACTACGTTGGCTGAAAGCCACACGTTATGCATTTGATTAGGTTTAACTACGCTATAAAATTAAACTGTTACATTTACTTCTAGGCGGCTTGGCCGCAATAATAGTAAATAAAACACTTCTTTTTTTGAAACATAAAAGTTAAGGTATTAGCTTTTAGCCCTGGTCTTGGCCTGTAAGCTCCTTTGGATAAGGAACTTAGTATTTGGGACTCTTTGAGTCGAACGTCTTCCTCTGACGCTAAAGCTACGGCAGCCCCGATGTAGTAGGTAGCTGTGCGAGATTTTATTAATACAGGAATTGTGCCTTTTGGACCTTGGAACGCCGAAGGTAACTTTGTAGTTGCCTCGCCAGAAGGATCAGACGACGGGAAGATTGAGGAGGAGAATGACAATAACGCGTTTTTACAAATCAGTGCTCCTTTTTTTAAACATTATATATACCTAAGCTTAGCACATGTAACAGACATCATGTTTTTCAATTGTGGATGGGGTGGCACCCTTTCACTTTTTGTCGTGCTAAATATGTGGCTGTATTATTGCGTGTTTTACGTCGTTGCGTTTTTACGTCGAATCCTGTACTTACGTTTAGTCGCTGTTTCTTGAGGGCTGGACAGGAGCAGAAAAAAGAATTCAAAAATGTCCAAGCGGCGCCTGGAGCGCAGGGTTTAGCGACGCAATGTTGATAGTCTGGGGGGCCTCGCCCGCGTATTAACATAACCCTGTCTTCCCTGGCTAAGTTGGTAATACATCCAAACGCCTTGCTGGTCTTCATCACATCCCACGCGCCGAAATCGAGAATTAAGTAGGCTTGTCTCCGCTGACGGCTGAGCTCCACCATGTCTGGAAGAATGGAGCATCAAGTCAGCAGTAACACCAGCCGGTGTTGCTTCACGCTTGAGTAGCCTGTTGACGTAATTCTGCCCATCATCTTCCAGCTTGACGTCTCCAGTCCTGCTTTCATGTGATGATCTTATGTGTGCATCTATGCCTGTAGGTAACGATATGGGACACTCAGCAGCTGTAGAGGCGAAGGAGGCGGCATTGATGTTGCTCCGATATCGACTTAAATCTAAGTTGCCCCGCTGCCAACCGCTTAACCAAAGGGGCTATATGGTTAACCATAGCATCGACGCTCAAAGCAAGGTCCAAAACGGGTTGAGCAGCGCTGAGCATGGGGCCTCCTGGGTTAATAAAGGGTTGGCGAGTTCATGAGGAGTGTACAGCAAGTTCGGTAATTCAAGGTACCTCACTGTAGAATGGCACATTATTGATCGTCGCGGTGGCTGTACGTGTCGGATCCATCAAAAACGTGTGAGCTGAGTTGAAGCGGGCTCTAAATCGTAAACCGGCTTCATCAATCGATGATTTAAAGGTAAAAGCTAAAGAAACTATGGTGTGAACTAGTCGATGACATTGTTCAAAAGTGTGTGCGGTCAATGCCGAAGCGACCAGATGTAGTGATGCAATCCCGCGGCAGACATACCAAGTACTATATGAAATTTGAAGTTGAAGCTCTAGCTTGATTTTAGTAAATGTTCTTCTTCGAATTGATGGGTACCTTCACATAACACACGGTTATTTGGAACTGTTACCACCATCACAAACATTTTTGTTTTTTAACATGAAAAAATTGTATAACGACATTGCCTACAGATCTGCGCATCTTTTGGTCCACGATTCGCACCAAGTTGAGGTTGAAGCTCTGAGCTGGATGTCCTAGGCTCGCTAGGTTTTGCTCTGTAAGGCAGGCCGTTGTTAATTTAGCCCGAAGTGCAGGCGCGTTTCCTGAGCTAACTCACTTGATTCCGGCAATCCATTTGGAACCTTTATCAATGGAATCTCGCTTCATAAAAATGTGCGGTAGTAAGCTGCAGTGACAGACTCTTCTCATATGTGCAGTGTGCCAACTCCACTTCCACTATTCGATCCCCCTCCCCCACACCATGACTGATTTACGTCCACTTTTAAACGTAAGAGCGGTACACTTCTCGTCAAATATCTCGTGGGCCCTAAGCCAAAATGACACTCGCCCAGTTGTGCCATGGAGCTCAACTCGAGCCTCATTTGTCAATAGAACGTCATCCCAGTCCTTTCGGGTCGATCAGCATTCGTTTTAGCGAAAGCTAAGCGAACACGACGGTGTTTGGAAGACAAAAAGGGCCTTTTCGAGCCGAGCGCCCATTCAACACAGCCGCATGAATCCTGGCGCGAACAACCGAGCGTGACACCTTTCTGCCAATGTCCCTCTCGATCTCTGCGGCAATCCGACCAGCGCAAAGAAGCGGTTCCCTTCGACAGCTCGAACAATCCTACGATCTTATCTAACGTCCGTGATCTTCCACGGTGCAACAACGGAATCTCCGTGACGCTGGTAGTACTTGAGAGTATTGACCACTGAGTTTCTAGGGCTCTCGAGCATCTTGCTAATCTTAGTGTCGCCTAGACCTTGTCGATGCTTGTTTAGGACCAAGACACACATGTTGCGCGATACTAGCGGCGCTGGCGCTCCATCAAAGCTTGGACGGGAAGTTTGAGAAATGAGCTTCAGTGTCGATCGAGCACGGAGCCTACCAAAGACTGCAAACCATTGTGTTTGCTTGGTCAGCTAGTGCGATTTTCGAGCAACCTTGTATTTGCAATACTGTTCTTCCGATAAGGTGTTAAGCGAGGCCAGGACACCACGACTTTCGCACCATCCATTTCTAAACTATCGTTGATTGGCGGAACCTTACTGCAGTAAACCAATTAGCGTTTTGCAAGCGAATCCGCAGGCGAATCGCGCAACGTTTAGTCCACAATTCGCACCAATCCGACACGTACAGCCACCGCGACGATCAATAATGTGCCATTCTACAGAGGGGTACCTTGAATTACCGAACCCGCTGTACGCTAGGAAAGTATGTAGTCTGGGATTTAGGTGAGTCCATTCACCTCCGCCGTTTTGCCGCGCTGGAGGCGTAGCCTAAAATACACCGTCTGTTTACAATGATACATGCTGCTTCTTAATGCCGATGACCACCCGAAACAGTGCACATGCCAGCGCAGCGACTAGATACTCGACATGCTACCTTGCTGTGCTGTACACAAAGCGAATCAAGGCTTAAATGCTCCTTAGTACAAGGAGGGTATTCGCTATCAAGGCCACCTTTCTTTAAGTGCTGCTTATCTATTGTATTGCTTTGCTTTAGCAGTATTAACTTAGAAGGCGCGCGAAAGGGTGGACACTCATCCAAAAGCTACAGATTAACGCTTCTGTTGTGACGGGGTCACACAGCACGTTGCACTAGAGGAAGTTGGCTTCCGAGAGTATACAAACTCTCAGTGAACGAAAGTTCACAGGTCCCCTTTTTCTTAAAAGGACCGAAGTGACCAATTTAAGGTAGGTTTTAAACTGAGTAAATTTATAAATAGGCTAAGCTTGAGTTAAAAATACAAACTACACCTTTGCCAGCTCAAACTGGCCGTAGTGCAGTTCAAAGTAAGTGAAAAAAAAATCATTATTATTTTTAAAATTTTGTCTTTAGATCAAAGCGGCAGGAGTCCAGAGCAAAGTGGTGGCTGTGAAAGCCTCACCCAGAGCACACTACAAAACCAACATTACAACCAAATCAGCAGGCAAGATGCCAACCGAGACGAAGCATACGGTGGTGGCACGATCGCGCGTCCTTGATGCCTACAAACAGGGCCACGATTGGCTGCTGGTTGCCTTTCACAACGGGATCCCTGCCACTACTGCCCGTCGTATTGTGGCTAGGGGATCCCCTGAGGTGAAAGCGAGAGGAGGAGCGCGAGAGGTAAACGTAAAGTGCACTCCAGCCATGGAGGCGGCGCTCGTAGGCTATGTGGAAGAGAACTGTCTCTACACGCTGGTGCAGCTACAAGACATGCATCTATTTGACTTTGGTGTGAAGCTGAGTACGTCTCTAATTACTTAAAAGCTTTGTGGAAAAAAGTACACGATGAAACAGGTAATACACGGTGCTGCTATTTTATTTTGGTATTTATACTAACTTCTAATGCATGTAATTGACAAATGTAGGTGCGGATTGAGCCCGCAACATGCAACAATGAAGAGAGCATTGAAAAAAGGCGTGTGTTTGCTGAGCAACTACTGAGGCATGAGCGAGCGGGTTCTTTCATCGTCTACTATGCAAAACCAACTTCAATTTGTACTGCAAGCGTCTCCAGGGTAGGGCAGCGCGCGGTTGTGAAGCTTCCAGCTTCAAAAGGAAAGAATTTACAAGTTCAGTGCGCGGTATCTACCGAAATTGGCCTCGTGCACTACAAGACGCAGCGTGGAAGCATCAAGATGCAGGCCAACGCTGATTTTGTGGATGCTATCTACGATACTGTCAAAGCGAATGAAGTCTATCAAATGGAATTTCTGGGAAAACCGATTGTCATTGTGCTGGACAATGCTCCAGCACACAACCAGACTGCAGACTTGGTGAGGGAGCGGAGCGATTTGGTGCTACTATGCTTGGGCCCGTATTCTCCAATGTGCAACCCAATTGAAGGTACGTTTCCGTCTTGTTATTGTTTGTATTCATGCTAAAATGGTACCGTCACGTAATTTACTGTAATTTATTGTAAATTGTTCTAGCGTGCTAAAAGCTAAAATAAAAAGCTTCCTTGCTCTGAGCCACGACGAGATGCTCAGCGCTCCTCGCAGCCAGATGAGCGAGAGTCGAATGCAGCTACTGGAGAAGGCTGCTGAGCATTGCATGCCGTGTATGACAGTCAGGCTGGTCAACAGAATGGCGCGTCACTGTGCGCATGCAGTCGCCGCTACGAAGAGAAGCGAGCCAATGGAGTACGGAAAGTAATCCGTTTTGAGCTGGACAAACACTACTTTGCTCTAGATTAAAAATAACAATGGACTTTTATTGTGATTTTTTTCCTTTTTTTCTTTTTTTTACTTTTTGACAGTAACCACTTTGAACTGCACTACGGCCACTTTGAATTGGCAAAGGTGTATAAGTCACCTATATAAAATTAATGTCATCAGCCAATGGTTGGCCTCAAACAACTGTGGTACCGTGTACCAAATACCCCGAAGTATGACCTGTCATACTTCATGTAACTAGGGGGCTACGTACCCCGTTATTAATGCATCTGTGATGCAAAGTTGCTGTGTTTCGGGCAAACTTACCTTTCTTACCTTCGTTGGTGGTGAGGTAGAATCCAAAACGATCGATCATCACTGCTAACCACTTGCTGGAATTGCCAAGGAGAATTCTAGCCTGGACGAGTTCCATGCCGACATTCACCTCCTCTGGCATTCGCTTGAATGTTGCGATCGCAGTAGCGCACGCTTTCTGTGTGTTCGAAGGCACAAATGCGGCTTTCCTCTGTTCTAGGGGGGCTATTTAAAAAAAATATAAGCCTGATTTACAAAATTATTCTTCAAATATATGTTAGACTTAAATTTTGTTAATCAAATGTTGTCCAAAAATTTTTGGGATCGGCTCCGGATTGGCTCAAAATAAAGATTTCAGCCGACTGTATTAATTATAACAATGTCGGAAAATTTTACTTCAAAGCTTCCTTTTGTCATGTAATTTTGGAATTATTATGACAAAAGACAGCTCGCTGCGGTGGGCGTTGCATCCGCAACGTAAACGCAAGTTTTTCACGGACCTAGCGCAGCTACTGGACGAGGACCCTCCGGAGATCCGCCCGTTGAAAGACGCCTTCTTTGGCATCGAGCTTCCAGGGGATTTCACATCTTTACCGTCTTCCAGTCCACAGGAGAACAACGCATCGCAGGCGCCCTTCGGACCATCTCACTCGCTCACCAGCGACTCATTTGAGTCAGTCGAGTTTGGTGCTCCGCACACCCGATCCAACAGGAGTAGTAACTTTGGAGCGAGCCAACAGAGCTCATCGCACAATGAATCCATGGCAGACAGTATGCTATTTCTGCCGAGTGTCACGAGTAACAACAGCCAGAAGCGGAAAGACCAGCACGTACGCTTCGAGTTCGAGCTGGAGACGAAAAACGATAGCACAAGTAATAACAGGGGTAACAGTCGCGCGCCATTACCACTGACGACTCTGATCAACAGTGGCCTGATGCTGGAGAAGCCGCCGGCCAGCGTGCGTCTGGAGCTTGTGGACTACTATGACGCTGACCGTATGTGCGAGTTGTCACCTTGCTGGATGCAAAGTGATGGATCGACTTGTGAGATGCACCAAGGTCCTATTCGACGACCTATGCTTCTGTTCTGTCTACAGGCGATGGATGAGTTCATCGCGAAAAGTGAGTGGCTAGGCCAACAGCCATGGCGTGTGCAAGTCTGTAAACTTGCCCGGAGAGTTTTTACTGCCATGTGGGAGGCCGATGTGTTGGGTTCAGCAACATCGGAGTCAGATATATTCCTATCCGACTACGTGTCCAAAAAGGCGACGAAAGTAGGCGTGACGCTTGATGTCTGGCGAATCATCGCACGGTACTGGGACAAATACAAACAAAATTATCTTCACCAGCAAGAATTGTATTTCACCGACGCTCCTGGAGGCGGATCAACGCATACTGCATCCAAGTGGGATCAATTGCGAATGCTACTCAGCATATACGGGATGAAATCAAGTCAAGCATTACGTCTGGTGGAACAACAGGGAGGTGACCAGATTAATGTGTATGAACTAACAGACAAGAAGCTTTGTGTCGTGACTCATGGACTTCAATCTATCGAGCAATTGCGCGTCGGGATGGAATATCTAGGTCGCAAGGATGCTGAAGATTCTACTGCCATGGTTCGACGACCCATGACCAGCCAGCAAGACGGGAAAACAGCATTCAATGCTATCCTTATCCATCTCACGCAGTGGAATGAAGACGTGCAGGTATTTCCATGTGGCTCTTTCTCACGAGGTGCCGCGTTCATCTCTGTTCTCGACATTCTCGTCGCAGTTCCAACTTCAGAGAGAGAATCGCCAGAATTAAAAGAAACTGCAGATACCAGAGCGTTTGAGGAAGTGCTAGCAGCTCTGACAGCTGCAAATGTGATTCAAGAAGGTGGTATGCGACGACTTTCAAGAACTCGTGGGGCTTGTATCATTCCGTTTAAGAACAGCTCGATTTTACTGGATCTGAAGGCTTATTGTCCTCCTAGAAGCTGGCTCGCGCTGCTGTATTTTACGGGCCCAGAGGACTATGTTCTTACGTTCTTTGCCAACCTATTGAAGCAATCACTGCGAGAGCTTCCTGACACCTCTTTCGAATGCATTTATGCCAGTGTGGTTGAAGCTCTTGGACAGGAAGCGCTTCTCGAAATCACATCGGAGAAAGACCTCTTTGACCTCGTCGATCGTGAGTATGTGCAACCAACAGACCGAGTCTAGCTGAGCTCCAGGGCTTCGTTGCAATAGCTCACATGAGCTGCAGTATTTATTTGATCGATAACGAGAAAAATATAAATCCTCGCTAGGTCTTCGTTTGGGTGCATTGCATTTACTTTGGCGGCATACGCAAAGCGCCATCAAGACGAATGGTTTCGCCGTTAATCATCTTGTTGTCGATGATCGCATGTGCTAGCTGCGCGTACTCCTCGGGGTTCCCCAAGCGGCTTGGGAACGGAACTGTATCGCCCAGCTGCTTCTGCACCTTCTCCGGGAGTCCAGCCAGCAGCGGAGTCATGAACAAACCTAAGGCAAAAAGTATTATATGTATCAGCTCTGCTAATACACCATCTAGTGTGTATCAAAACGAGTTAAACTGTACCTGGTGCAATTGTATTCACGCGAATACCATACGACGCGAGGTCTCTCGCAAGAGGCAGCGTCATTCCTACGATGGCACCTTTGCTAGCTGCATACGCCGCTTGGCCGATCTGTCCCTCGTACGCAGCGATACTAGCAGTGTTGATGATGACACCACGCTCCCCACCAGGTCCCGGTCTCGTTTTGGACATGCTACAGAAGTGTTAGAGTGAAATTCTCCCTTTGCTTGAAAATTTGCAAGAGCTAGCTCACCGCTCCGCTGCGAGACGTGCGACGTTGAAAGATCCAACCGTGTTAACATTGATGGTTTGTTGGAACTGGAACAGTTGATGAACGCCCTTCTTGCTCAGCGTCTTGATGGCTAGTGCGACGCCGGCACAGTTGACGACTGTGTTCACGGGCTCACCGAAGGAAGACTCGGCCAGGTCCAGCGCTGCCGTCACATCATCCTCGTTCGTCACCTACCGAGGCGGCATTCAAAATATCTCCGATAAGTACATATTAATAAGGGGAGTATTTTAATTCCAAGAAATCGTACGTCAGTGGGGCTAAAATGACACGAGACGCCGAGCTCCCTGGCCACGTTAACACCATCGCTGGTCGGGAGGTCGCATAGGATCACTCGCGCCCCGTTCTCCACAAAACGAGTGGCCGTGGCACGTCCTAAGCCGGAAGCAGCGCCCGTGACGATGGCAATTCGATTGGCTAGAGCCATTGGAGACAACAGAAACGCAGGAGAAGAGCTAAAAGGCTTTTAGTAAAAGCACACGGCGAGTTGCTCAGATCCGCTTGAAGTTTGCAAGTCAAAATGTGGACCACATATCATGTAGTGACATGGCACTAACACACACGTCATCAACTCTTGTTCAACAAAGCATGAGTGCAGGCGCAGAGGCTTCGCTGCTGCAGCGTGGCCTGCAGTTCCTGGAAGAGAATGACGAGAAGAGGTCAGGTGCGTTGCTTGTATGGCTGCTCCTCGTGCTAGTACGCTGGATAGTGGGTCTCCACTCATACTCAGGCGAGCACACGCCGCCCATGTTTGGCGACTACGAGGCGCAACGACACTGGATGGAGATCACTATCAACCTGCCAGTTTCGGATTGGTACTTCAACACCACGTCCAACGATCTATTGTATTGGGGATTGGATTACCCGCCGCTGACTGCCTACGTCTCGTACCTCTTCGGACGAGCGGCTCACATCACGGAGCCCGCCATGGTGGAGCTTACTAGCTCGAGGGGTTACGAGTCGGCTACCAGCAAGGTGTTCATGCGTACATCTGTGCTCCTGTGCGACGTCGCTCTCTTCATCCCGGCTATCTATGCTATGTCACGAGCTATCTATGGCAATGAGCAGTGGTCGCGACGAATGGCGTTCATGCTGCTGGTTTTGCTGCAACCGGCGATTTTGCTCATTGACCATGGTCACTTCCAGGTACGACAAGGATATAGTATTTGTTATACTACGTTTATACTTTATCTTACTCTGCATGTGGCGCTGCTCTTTTTACTTGTGATATCAGTACAACAATGTTTGTCTAGGCTTTACGGCGTTGGGCGTGGCACTGATCCTCCAGGGGCACGAATTCCTTGGAAGTATATGCTACTGTCTCGCGCTAAACTTCAAGCAAATGGCGCTATACTATGCTCCTGCATTTGGAGTATTTCTTCTTGCGCGTTGTCTTTATCGGAAAAAGTGCATTCTTCATCTCCTGAAACTAGCAGTCGCTGTCATCGCGACCTTCGTGTTGATGTGGTTCCCACTCTGCGTGTATTCATCACCAAAAGAGACTTGTGTGTCCACGGTGGCACAAGGTATGTTATGTCTATTAGCTACAGTGGGATGACTTATAAGCTAACGTGTCTCTCTAGTTGTTCATCGTATCTTCCCTTTTGGCCGAGGGCTCTTCGAGGATAAGGTCGCGAACTTCTGGTGTATTGCCGACTTTGTTCTCAAGATCCGGAGGCATGTGACTCCCGCACTGCAAATGCGTTTGTGGTACGTTGAAATCGTACTTGAGGGACAAATTGAGGGTGCTAATAGTGCCGTGCTTGGCTCGCTACAGCACTGTGATGACCTTTATTGGATTTTCTCCGTCGATCATTGACCTGTTGCGACGAAAGCCTACAAATCTGCGGTTTGTGCTATCGCTCGCAATCTGCTCGCTGTCATTTTTCTTGTTTTCTTTTCAAGGTACTGGTTTGTAGGCTATGGGAAGGCCTTATACTGTCGCTAACACTGTGTGCTGGTTTTGCAGTTCACGAGAAGACAATTCTGTTACCGCTGCTGCCGATTTCATTTCTCTTTGCGCACAACGCGCTTCTATCCGGATGGTTCAGCGTGCTCTCAACATTCAGGTATGTCCATTATTTACAGAAATGTGATTGTTTTACTAAGCTTTACTGTCTGATTCCCTTTCGCATTACACAGCATGTATTTCCTACTGAAAAAAGATGGTCTGATTCTTCCGTACATCGTGTTGCAACTCGCCTATATGGGTGTAGCGGTGGCTCCGTTCCTTACGTCGGGAACTTCGAGGTACCTACACGTGCAGCAACACGAACTTGCACCTGGCTACAAGCAGGATGGTAGCGCTCATCCGCTCGTACGAGCGTATGTCATGGTACGAAGTGTTGGTTTGCAATTGCATCGCTGAAAAGGTTATAATCGGCTTCGTTTGCTGTACCGCAGATATCAATGGTAGGAATTGTTGTTATCCATGCTGCACAAGTCTGGGTTACTCCACCTGCGAGATATCCGCACATCCACGACTACGTTTTTGCAGCGTATTCCTGTGGTCATTTCCTGCTGGTGCTTGCGTATTTGACGTACTGGCAGTGGGCAGCAGAGACGCAAAGCGAGAAGACAAAGAAAGAGTAAATGTGCAAAGACCATAGAGGTGTCGCTAACGATAGCTGCATGCATTTCAATTGTTCCTGTCTCTTATTACCTGCATATTTCGTTCTTGTTCACCATTAAAGTCAACTCACAGTTGTGTACGTGTTCGGCTTACTTGCTGGACTTGAGGAACTTGAGCTGTTTCTTTAATCGTGCTTTCTCGTCCTTGAACGCTTGCAGCTGGTAGCAAAATAGTATTAGTCGTCTCCAGATTGCCACAAAAAACGGTAGCGTACCATCTGGCGATCTTCCTCAGATACCGGGACCCTGTTAGACTTGATGTCAGCGATGAACGCGGCCTCGTTCTCTCGTGCTTCAGCTAGAAGCTTCTCCAGTGACGCCTTCATCTCCACGGGGGACACATCTCCATGTGGAATGGGAATGCCATCTAAGGCATCACAAATAGTACCAATATTACTGTAAGTACTTTGAAGTATATAGTGATGTAAATAGTGCTGCTGACAGCGGACCATTCATGCTGGGCGGCTCGACATCCTCCTCGTCTTTCGAGTGCGTGGACTTGGCCTCATCCTCATTCTTCTGCGTGACGACCGCTGGAAATCCCGCCTGCTTAGCACGCCACTGCTCGTACTCCTCAAGACTCATGCCGCGTCCCTCAGGCTCTTGGATCGGCAGCCATTTCTTGACACTTGCCGGTAGAACATCCGGATCGTAGTACACGTACGCCACGCCACTGCAAAACAGCAATGTTAGCACAGGTCGTCCGAATAAAGGTAATCATATAGGCGTACCCGATGACACCTGCCAGTCCGAGCAGCGTGAAAAAGCTCGAGTTGTCCTGGCCGCCAGCGTGAGGAGCAGAGCCACCGTAGCTGAGGTGGCGCCGCGCCATGTGGCGAGATCCAATGTGACGTATCTGTCGAGTAAACTACAGTATAGTTTGCGTCAAAAACACAAGTGCCTATAGTCCTTCCCAATAGCATCAATAAAGGAGCTATGTACCCGCAGAGACAGCATGTCGATGGTTGTCTTGGCGAAGATGACGCGAAAATCAAAATTGACGACTTAAATTATGTTTGATACACTATTTCTTATTGGTTTGTAAGAAATAAATCGGTGTGTCAAACATAACGACTACCGGTATTTGATCACAAATTTGATGGGGATTGGAGGATGCTTGGCCGCACCATCAGATCCCAAGCTCGCCACCTCCGCTCACCTTTCTTGCGCCTTTCAAGCCCCATGAGCACTACTGCCCCCAAGTTCAAGCTGGCTCTGTGCCAGATTGCCGTTGGCGATGACAAGCAGAAGAACATCGCCACGGCCACCGCCGCCGTGACCGAGGCCGCCCAGAACGCAGCTCAGGTGGTGTCGCTGCCTGAGTGCTGGAACTCGCCGTACGCCACGACGTCCTTCCCGCAGTACGCGGAGGAGATCCCAGAGAAGAAGGCAGCTTTAAATGAGAAGGAACACCCGTCCACCTTTGCGTTGTCGCAGCTCGCTGCTAAGCTGCAGATCTTCCTGGTGGGTGGCTCCATCCCTGAGAAGGATGCGACCGGCAAGGTCTACAACACAAGCGTCATTTTCTCGCCTGAAGGTGAAATCCTCGGCAAGCACCGTAAGGTGCACCTGTTCGACATTGACGTGCCCGGCAAGATCACCTTCAAGGAGTCGGACACACTGTCCCCAGGCAACAGCATGACGCTCTTCGACACGCCCTACGGCAAGATGGGTGTTGGCATCTGCTACGACATCCGATTCCCGGAGCTGTCTATGCTCATGAAGAAGCAAGGTGCCAAGGTACTGCTCTTCCCGGGCGCTTTCAACCTCACCACGGGTCCGGCGCACTGGGAGCTTCTGCAGCGTGCTCGCGCTGTCGACAACCAGCTGTACGTAGCGGCAACTTCGCCTGCGCGTGGCCCCGAGGGTGGCTACCAGGCCTGGGGCCACTCCACTGTCATCTCGCCCTGGGGCGAGGTTGTGGCTACCTGCGGCCACGGTGAGTCGATTGTGTACGCCGAGGTCGACTTGGAGAAGGTCGAGGAAATGCGTCGCAACATCCCCACCACGAACCAGACACGCTCGGACCTCTATGAGCTGGTGCAGAAGTAAGCAGTTGAAACGAACAGGTACCGTCGCTGAGCTTCCCCCAGCATACAAACGCACAGGCTTCTGAAGTGACGAGTATCCTCTGGAGATGAGTACCATGACGTAACTCAGAATTGAGATCTGTGTGGGTAATACAACCCCAGCAAAAAGTCTCTCCTCCAATTATGCTGTTGCGTGACGTGAATGAATGAGTTTACACCCTGTCAAGCCACTTCATTTCATCCTCGAACAGTGTCCGTGCCTCTTCAGCCTTAGCTTCTCTCTGTTGCTTGAGCTGGACAACAGGGGAGTACTATTCGCAAGCAACCAGTTAGCATCTTGCGACAGACCACACCAGACATCACCAAAACCCACCTTCAAGTTCAGATGCTGAGTGACATTGCGGCGGATCCAGCGCTCCTGGCGTTGAAGTCGATTCTTCACTGCCTCGACTTTCTTCTTGCCGATCTTCTGATTCTCCGAATTCAAGCGCACAGGCTCCCAGAACAGCACGACTCGACGCAGATCGGGCGAGACGTTAGCCTGCAGATGGCAAGAGGACACATACACCTCGTCACGAACCACTGTAGTTACACCTCTATCGTATTGCTCACCTCGATAATCGTAGGCACGACGTCATCTCCAGACAAGTCTGCGTCCTCAACTAGCAAATTCTGCACGAACTCCAGCACGGCGATGCCCACGCTCTCCTGGCGATACGTCACGCGCTCAGCCTTGGGCTGTTTCGGCTTCTTCTCCAGTGGGGTCATGTTCTTGTTTTCTAGAAAAAAGAATAAGCATCGCAGCAAATAGTACATGTGAGCACGAGGTCAACACCCCAGCTTCAACGACTCTTTTCGACGTACTCAGACTCGAGTTCGGCATCCGCTCAGCGTTCTTGCTCGTCGACGCAGCGTTTGGGTTCAGCTCTCCCAGTACTTTCAGCAGCTTCTTTTTGGGAATGCGTTCTTTAGCACGATCGATTCCCTCGTCACCGTCCTCTTCCTCTTCACCGTCGTCTTCATGGGCGTGGCGCTGGTCGAACGTGTCCATTCGCTTCTGAAATTCGGCCGGGCTCAGGCGAAACAGCTCCTCTGCTTCTTCTAAAAAAATCTCGGTCTCTTCATCGGGCTCTTCGTCATCGTCGAGTTCGTTTTGTTCGTCGTCGACTAGTTTCATCGTGTCTGGTAGCTCCTCCTCCTGGGACGAAGCCTTGCTCGGGTACTGCTTCTGCATCTCCTCGAACCACTTGCCAAACTCCCCGTCGTCATCCTGTCATTGGTTAGCCAACATAAGCAAAGTTACCTTCCAAATATTATGACCATTGCGTGTCGCCATTTTACCTCGCCGCCTTGGTAGACTGCCGATTGCTTGGAGGACGCGCTGCTGGGAGAACCTCTGCGATTTCGACGAGCCGGCACCACACCAGATGCATGGAGGCCTCGCTGCTGCAGAGTTGCGCTTGCAGGAGCGCCCTGCTTAAGCGCAAATCGGAGCAGCCGCGCTGTTAGGAGCATGGTGGCGAGGAGAGGCTACACCAACCGCTTAAAATGAGCGCCGATGGCGATGATTGGGTTTTTCAAACAATTAAATGCTTTTCACTGGATGGGGTGTGTTTTATTATGGAGATCTGTGACGTGTGCAACATACTTGACCTCAAGTTTGTCCTGCCCGAAATCCACAAGGTGCATACTGTACTACCACTGGTGTACATGCAAAGCCACCGACAGTCGGTCCGACTCGGTGGTATGTACAGTACCGAGCTAGCCTAAAGAGAGCACTGCGACAACGTAGAATTTTAAGAGCTAGTGATTTAGATTGTCGGCAAGTTGCCAGCTGCCAGGCGGATGTAATCGATGGACGTCTGGAAACTTGACGCTCTGCAGGCGTGATTTCAAACATCGTTGCGGTCTGCTATTACATGATGCAATAGCAGACCGCAACGAGGTAGTTTACATGTAGAGGCTTTCACTGAAAGCCTCTACATGTATTAATTTGAAAGTTTCAGATGAATACCTGCTTACAGTGCTACACTGTCAGTGTACCGGGCTCCCTATGTACTGTATAAATATTGGTCATTTATGCAACTTGGATTGCAACCATAGTTTTGATAGGCTAATATTTCGAAGGATAAGGTTTGATTGGCTGAATTGAACCGTGTTGAAGTGCTACAATCGCAGACTTGGATGTCCTCCACGTCTACGATCTGTACGAAGTTTAACTAAAATACTAGACACAGAGAGATTCCTACCGTACGTTTGATACACTCTATCTATTGCAGAGTCGCTAGTGTGTCCAGAGCGAACCAATTGAGAAATAACATCCCAGAAGACTTTCCGCCTGGAGTAGGCGAACTTGTTTGCGCCTCGCTCAATGGATGTAAACTCCTTGGCTGGTTTTAGCCCACCGGATCCGAGCTGATACTCGTGCCAAAGTTCATACAGGTCTTTAGGTCTCTTTGAAAGACGTGCCGCGTTTTGTCCACGAAATCCACCTTCATGTACAGACAATCCTCTTTGTAGTGATACTGTCGAGTAGTAAGATTATATAACATTCCCGTGGGCAGAAGCTGCGTCTGCGAAGATGGCGCAGGAGATGCGCAGCCACGGAGTAGCAGATCGACTCAATCGACCATGATCGCTTTGGGCCATCGGAAAACGGCGATAGTTCCGAATGAAATATGCATTTCATTCAAACAGAGCTCTTTGGTAAAATTTGCGAAGGTTTTCATCGCACTGAGTCTAGTGTTTGCGTTATTCCTTTTATATCAAGGTCGGCCGACAGACTGCTCGCCAGTAAGTTCTGCGGCTGCGCGTTAGCATAATAATCGGAATTTCTTTTGGTGAAAGTAAGCTTCTCGAAAGATTAAGCTTTATAATCGAATGTTTTTTTTAAGGATAAAAAGTTTTTATCTCGGTAAACAAAACAACATTTGAGCGGCTAAAGAACTTTCTTTGAATGCTAAAGCTACGGAATCTAGAACGATTAAGCGCACTTGGTCTATGTTAAGGCCCTATTGAAATTACTTCAATATTGAGTGGGGTTTGCGCGCAGTATGCTTGCCTTATAGATTGATGACCACGGAGCACCAGTCCCATTTACAAAAATAAAATTTGTATTATTTTCCTGGATACACTCTGCAGGTGCATGTACGCAATCGATGATGCATCCCGAATTCCATCAGCCAATCAGAGAAAAACACCCATCGAAATCGCTTCAACTCGTCTAAATCCGGGTCTCGTGGGTGCTTGGGTTTATGCCCGCCCATTCATCTCATTTCTTGTTTAGCGACAAAGATGGTGGTGAACGAAGATCACCAGGAGCTGCTGCCGTTCGTGCGAGGCGTCCAAGACGGTGCCTGCGTGCCCGCAGCCGAGGACGTTCCCAGTGTTACGTCATCTCAGCGGCGCGACGACGAGGAGCGTGTCGTGTTCCTCGTGGTGCCAGGCCTCGCGGAAGATGACCAAGACGCCGCCGAAAAGATCAAAAAGGCGCTTCTACGTAGCTCCTTGGGCGTGCGCAATGTGCAGCTGGATCTTCTAGAGAAGCTGGCGAGGATCGAGCTGTTTTACCGCGCCGACGAGGCGATGGAGGCGGCTCTGGCTGACGAGGTGCGACGCGCAACACCCGAGCAACTCGTGGCGTATCCAGTGTGGCAGCATCGTGAGCGCATCGTGCGCCTCCGCGTGGACGGCATGCGCTGCATGACCAACTGTGGTCGGCAAGTGATCCGCGCGCTAGAGCAGATTCCAGGCGTGCTTCACATCCACGTGGACTCCAAGTCCAAGACGGCCGAGGTGGCACTAGCTAAAGGCTGCACAGCGACAGAGGTGGATCTTATTAAGTACATCCGCGCGGCCAACCCGCGCTTCAACGCATCCATCGCTAAAGAGAAGAAAGAGCGCGCAGGTTCCGTACCTGGTGCGATCTTGTTGAACATCACAGGCATGAGCTGTGCCAAGAACTGCGCTACAAAAGTTCAGGCTGCCTTGCAAAGTGCGGAAGGAGTAATTGACGCGATAGTCGACTTCGGTAATAAGCGCGCGACGATCATCCTCGAGTCGGAGAGCTTAGTGACAAAGCAAGATCTGATTCAGGTGGTGCGCAGTGCTGGCACAAAGTTCGATGCGTCGCGTTACGAGCTTTTCAACAATGACGGCGACTCGCGCGTCGTATATCTAACGATCGATGGCATGAGCTGCGCAAAGAACTGCGCAAGAAAGGTGCAAGATGCACTTAACAACGCCGAGGGGGTTATTAACGCCAAGGTGGACTTTGACACGAAGCGTGCGACCATTTTCTTGGAGACGGGTAGTCACCTGACGGAATCCGACCTGATTGAAGTTGTCCATTCCGCCGGTCAAAAGTTCACTGCTTCAGTAGCGAAACCAACCAGTGGACCGCGTACAATTCGCCTTAAAATTGACGGTATGAGCTGTGCGAAGAACTGCGCAACGAAGATCGAGCGGGCTTTGAATGCTGTTGCGAGTGTAGAGAGCGCCACAGTGGATTTCCCGCTTAAACGCGCTACAGTTCAGCTAGAATCGGTCAGCTCCCTCTCGGAGAACGACCTCATCGAAGTTGTACGCAGTGCTGGCACGAAGTTTGATGCTGCAGTGTATGTGCCGTCGTTCAGCCCGCGTACTGTGCTGCTGGAGATTGAAGGCATGAGCTGTGCCAAAAATTGCGCACGCAAGATCCAACAAGCTCTTAGCGAGACTGACGGCGTTGTGTCTGCATCTGTGGAATTTGCGGCAAAGATTGCGACGGTTGAAGTGGACCCTGATGGCCAGTTTAACGACGGAGACTTGCTGCAAGCCGTTCGAAAGGCCGGATCCAAGTTCCGTGCTCGTGTCGTCAAGTCAGAAGCGCAAAGAGTGTCAGATGCAGAGGAATATTCTGCGAAGAGTGATGTTGAGCTGCAAGCCAAGTCGGAAGTGGCTTCGACTGCTGCGTCGGACGATGTTGCAATTTCTATCGCCTCCGACAAGAGTGAGTTTGGCGAGGCAACACTTTTGGTTGGCGGGATGACGTGTACCTCGTGCTCCAACTCGGTTGAAAACGCACTGAAACAAACGGAGGGTGTCGTGTCTGCTCTTGTCAGCTTTGCGACGGAGAAGGCGACAGTTCGCTTTGATAAGGACATTGTTGGAATCCGGACGCTTGTTGAAACAATCGAGGATATCGGATATGACGCTTCATACGTGTCCAAGTCAGAGGCGCAGAAAGCGCTGGGAGATCAACGCGCAAAGGAGATCACGAGGTATCGCGTTGACTTTTTCGTCTCCATGCTGTTCACATTTTCGATTGTCCTGATCATGATGGTGCTCGACAATATTGCGCCTATTGAACGCGGCTTGGCTTCGGAAATTCTTCCCGGGATCTCGTGGCAGACGTTGATTGTGGCAGTTCTAGCTACCCCGGTCCAGTTTTACCCTGCGCGTCGATTCCATGTTGACGCTTGGAAAGGAATGAGGAACCGCATGTTAGGCATGTCATTCCTGGTGTCGATGGGCTCCAATGCCTCGTACTTCTACGGTCTGTTCAGTCTCATTCGTGCGGTTTTATTGAGTGATGCAAGTGTCGCCAACCCGGATATGTTTATGACGTCGTCGATGCTCATTTCTTTCGTTATCCTGGGCAAGTTCTTGGAGGCAATCGCTAAAGGCAAAACCTCGGCAGCACTGAGCAAGTTGATGGAGCTGCAAGTCAAATCTGCCACGTTGTTAGTTTTTAGCGCTGACGGAACGAGAATCCGTGAAGAGCGCATTGTTCCGATTGAACTGGTGCAACGTGGAGACATTCTCAAAGTCGTCCGCGGATCGTCCATTCCAGCCGACGGAGTCGTCGTGTACGGCGAAGGTCGGATTGACGAGTCGATGTTGACGGGTGAGTCCAAGACAATCAAGAAAGTCGTCGACGATCGTGTGCTAGGGGCGACCGTGAATGTGGACGGATTGTTCCATATGAAGGTTACCGGTGTGGACAACGACACTGCATTGAGTCAGATTATTCGTCTCGTGGAGGACGCGCAGACCTCAAAGGCGCCAATCCAAGCATACGCAGACTACGTCGCGTCCATTTTCGTCCCTACCGTACTGGGGCTTTCTTTCGTGACACTCTCGGCTTGGTATCTCCTCTGTGTTTTTGAGGTTGTTCCGGAAAGCTGGATTCCTCACACAGACAGCACGTTTGTGTTCGCGTTCAACTTTGGTATTGCTACACTCGTTGTGGCTTGTCCGTGCGCGTTGGGGTTGGCAACACCCACGGCTGTCATGGTTGGAACGGGTGTTGGAGCTGAGCACGGTGTGTTGATCAAGGGCGGTGAGCCACTACAGGCTGCACACAACGTCAACACGATCTTGTTCGACAAGACGGGAACTCTGACAGTGGGGAAGCCTGTGGTGACAGATGTGGTGGTGCTCACGAAGAAGCTCAGCACTGAGGAGCTCATTATTCTCGCTGGGTCGGCTGAACTTGGCAGCGAACATCCTCTCAGTAAAGCGATCATCGAGTACGCCAAGTTTATCTCGTCTTATCTCGAACAACCCAAAGGTTTCCGTGGAGTTTCTGGACGAGGTATTGCGTGTACAGTTGGTGAGCACAAGGTCGTCATTGGCAACAGAGAGTGGATGGCCGATAACGGAATGAAGCGTTTGTCAAGTATTGTGCTGCAGCAGGCCACAATGACGTTCCAGAATGCTGGAAAGACTACCATTTACATGGGCGTCGACGATGAACTTAGCGCTGTCTTTGGTGTGGCGGATGCTCCGCGTAAAGAGTCAATCCGTACATTGAAAAAGCTGAAGCAGATGGGTCTGGAAGTCTGGATGGTCACTGGTGATAACGCACGCACGGCCTTCACCATTGCTGACCAGCTTGGCATTAGTCGACGCAACGTCATGGCCGAGGTGGTCCCTTCTCAGAAGTCTTCGAAGGTCAAGCAGCTCCAGAGTACTGGGCGTATCGTTGCTATGGTAGGTGACGGCATCAACGACTCGCCTGCATTGGCTCAAGCGGATCTGGGTATTGCTATAGGAGGCGGCACTGAGATCGCAGTCGAGACGGCCGGTATGGTGCTCATGAAGGCCAACTTGTTCGACGTCATCACGGCGCTGGACTTGTCTCGCACAATCTTCAACCGGATCCGTCTGAACTACGTGTGGGCTCTTGGCTACAACTGTTTGCTGATCCCATTGGCTGCTGGCGTGTTGTATCCCTTCGGCTTCAGCATCCCGCCCATGTTCGCAGGCGGTGCCATGGCCATCTCTTCCGTGTCGGTCGTCACTTCCTCGCTCCTTCTGCGGTATTACACGCCTCCAGCTCTCCCGGAGGATTTCAGCGTGGACGACTCCAAGTCGCTGCTCTTCAAGAAGCCGACGGTCACCACGCCATTGCTGGCCTCCAGCACGTTGGAATAGACAACACGAAGGCTGCTGCTATGTTGCAGTGCGACTTCAATAATAAGACATTTTCGTAATATTTCAATACAACATTTACGTTGTTTCAAGATATTTCGAATTTCTTAACGCAACTTTTGCCGCCGGGGATCGCTTCGAATGAAGCCAAAATCGAGCGCAGCCAGCAGTACGAGGACGGCCTCGTGTCAACCGTACTGTTCGAAATCATTGCCCTTGGTTCCGCCGCTACACGCGGCGCGTTCTCAGCGTCGGGGAGAAAGATTCATCTCCAGGATCACTTGAGCTTCTCAACGTATCTGGCGATTATCCGCTGGCCAGCGAAGGTTGTCCAACAGTTCCTATAGCTCGTCGGTTTGTCGGCATCTGGTCCTCAGCTGTCTCCTCGGTGCCTCGGCGCTTCTTCTTCTGCTGGGGCTTCGGGTCATCGCAAGAGCCACACTTCTTACTTTGGACCTTGTTCAGGGGCTTCTTGCGTGGCTCGGAGGCCTCGTCCCTGTCGGGATCTCTGTCGAGCAGGGTTTTTAACGATGTATCCGTAGTCGCCTCAAGGTGATCGGCAGACTTTTGCCGTTTCGAGAGCTCGCGCTTTATGTCGGATACAACCACTGCTTGCGCGACTTCATCGTTGTGGATCGCCGCGCGCTGTTCGTCCAGTATCTTGCGCTGGTCCGCGAGCATGCGCTCCTGGGCCTCCTGCTGCTATCGGTACTTTTCTTACAGGCTCGAGACTTCGGCTTCATAACGAGCTACCAGGCCCTTGATCACTGAGTAGGGAGAAGTCACAGCGTTGGATCTCAAGCGACATGAGCGTCGCCTCCACAACGATGAAGTCGCGCGAGCAGTGGATGTGTCCGACATCAAGCGCGAGCTCTCGAAATGGCAGAGGTCTGCCGATCACCTTGAGACGGCTAATGATACATTGTTGAAATTTTGGGCAGCATGGCGATCAGACGCCGAGTCGCCGAAGGCGGCGAAGGGTCGGTAGATGCTGGTCAGAATTAAGTGTATCAACACAATAAAATACTTACTTTCATTAAAACAATAGTAAGTACTTGGGTTAAACAGATCCTAAGAGCACTTGGATACAGTGCACCAGCAGGCAGAGGCTGTGTAACGGGGT